CTCCCATTTGGATTACAAAGTGCACCTACAGTTTTTATGCAGCTAATTAAGGAGGTCTTACGTGAACACCTCTATAAGGGAGTCCAAGCTTATCTAGATGATATCCTCATATATACGGAATCCCAAGATGAACACACTAAACTAGTCAGGGCTGTATCAGAGAAACTGCGCTCTGCTAAACTGTATGCTAAATTATCAAAATGCGAATTTCACAAAAGTCGCATTGACTATTTGGAGTATCACATTTCACACCAGGGAATAGAGTTGGACCCAGAAAAGGTAAGAGCTGTATTAGACTGGGCTTCTCCTAAAACTCAAAAACAAATTCAAAGTTTTCTGGGGTTTGCGAACTTCTACAGGCAGTTTATTCCCTCTTTCGCACAAATCGCTCTTCCTATTACAAATTTATTAAAAACTAAAGGGGGAGATAAGCCAAAACCTAGCAAACCTATCAGTTGGACGGGGGAATGCCAAGCGGCATTTGAAAAACTAAAACCCCTTTTCTCTATGGAACCAATGTTGAAGCACCCAGACCCAGAGCAACCTTTTATAATACAAGCAGATGCTAGTGGCGTAGTCGTGGGTTCTGTATTACTACAGAGGAACAAAGGGGGGCAGTTATAACCATGTGCTTACACCTCCAGAAAACTTTTGGAGCAAAAGTGGGCATCCTGGGAGAAGGAAATCTACGCAGTATGGTGCGCAGTACGGAAATCTACGCAGCATTGCTAACTTGGAGACATTTTCATGATGGGAATAAAATACTATTCCAAGTATGGATGGATCATAAGAATCTAGAAGCAATGAAAACTCCTAGGAAACTTTCACTCAAGCAGGCAAGATGGTCTCAATATTTTCACCATTTTAATTTCACTATCCACTACTTCCCTGGAGGGAAATTTTTTTTAGCTGACGCTCTTTCTAGGTTACCTCAATATAACAGCAAGAAAGCTGAGATCGCTAAACCCTTCTTATACCCCCACCAATTAGCGGCTCCTGTTACCACCAGGGCCCAATCAAAGTTGAAAGTTCCAGTGAACAAAACTCTTTTGCATGAATTCAAGTCAGCACTAGAAACTGACAAGTGGCATCGCAGCCATAAAAATGTATGTAACATAAAAAATGGACTAGCATGGGTGGGAGAGAAAATCTATGTCCTGGCTGAAATGAGAATTAAGGTGATACAGGCTGGACATGATTCCAAAATCACCAGCCACTTCGGGTTTGTGAAAACATTACGCTTGGTTAAGAGACAATTTTGGTGGCCAGCACTCAAAAAGGATATTGAGAGTTATGTAGCCAGCTGCCCCACGTGTGCAGCAGCGAAATGGTGTCAAGGGAAGAGCCCCTGACTACTTCAGCCGGTAGCAAGCCCTTCAGCACCATGAAGAGAGATTTCCATGGACTTCATTGTGGACCTACCCAGAAGTGCTGGTAATACAGTTATTTAGGTGGTTACAGATCTGTTTTCCAGACAGGTAAATTTCATCCCATGCTCAAAAATTCACACGGCAAAACCTTTTGTACAAAATACCTTTCGGTTCTATGGTGCCCCCCCAAAGGATAATTTCTGATAGAGGGATCCAGTTTACTTCTAAATTCTGGAGAGCATTTCTGAATTTAATGGGCTCTAGCCAAGGCCTCTCATCTTCTCACCACCCTCAAACTAACGGAGGGACAGAACGATTAAACTCTGTTCTGGAACAGTACCTGAGATGTTTTATTAACTACCAGCAGAATGATTGGTCAGACTCATTGCCATTTGCCGAAGTGGCTTATAATAATGCTGTACATTCTAGCACTGGATTTACCCCATTTCAAGTCGCCAATGGGCAGACTTTTGTAGCCATGCCAAAACTTCCTCTTAAAGAGCCCGAAATCCCTTTGCTACAGGAATGGATTAAGCAGCTACAGAATACTTGGCCAGTAGTCAGGAAGGCTCTAGATGAGGCTAGGGAAGCTTACAAAACCCAGGCCGATAAGAAAAGAAATGAACAAAAACCGTTCAACATTGCGGAACGTCCATAAATATTTGCAATCGCTACAACCCTCAAAGAAATTGGGCGTAAAATTTGTGGGTCCTTTCCCAATTAAACAAATTATAAACCCTGTAACTATTGAATTAGACCTACCAAAGAATCTACAGAAAATCCACCCAGTTTTCCATTGTAGTTTGCTGAAACCCGAAATTACCTCCGACCTCAGGCCACCTGCTCCCCCTCTTCCTACCTCTATCTTGATTAAAGGAAAACAACATTTTGAGATCCATGACATCTTGGACTCTAGAATCCACCATGGGAAAACTCAGTATCTCGTGTCTTGGAAAGACCTCCCAAGTTCCCAGAGGGAATGGGTCTACAAAGGACATGTTCGAGCTCCTCAATTGCTTAAACGTTTTCATACACTGTTTCCGGATAAACCTAAATAACATTGTTGTTGTTCTCCCCCCTTTCTTCTCTTTTTTCCCTTTTTCTCTTCTCTAGGTGGATCTCCCTCCTTTTTGAAGGAGGGCTGGATGTCAGGTCTCAAACAGCTCCCTATTTTACTTACCCCGATATGCCACCTGATTGGATACAATTCAAATCCCGTGTGGCTTGGGTGTTATATATGGTGTTAACTGTATATAATGTGTTATATGGTGTTAACAAACTTTTACCTCAGACCTCGCCTTGATCCCCAACTGTTACTGATCTCCAAATAAAAGAATCCTGTTTGAAGCAGTGATTGCCTCAAGAGTTCGAATTTTGGGGAGAACAGCTGAAGTGAATCATTACAGAGGGTTTTGAAACCTTAACCTTGTCTTTTTTATTATTGTTATTCTTCCTGCTAACTATTTTGTCATTAATATATCATATAGAAGACAGGTCAATAATCTGCAAATAGATTTACTAGTTTAAAATTTTTGGAGGGCCCACTTTGCAAAGGTGGAAATCAATATTGTGGTAATATATTAACCAGTATTCAGTTAGAGGGAATAACATATGTATATATGCTGCCCTTTTTGTTTTCAATGCAGTTTTTATGTCTTGATTGTTTTGTGTTTTGTTTTTTTGTTTTTGGAGCTTTGCATTTTAACTTTCTTTTGGATAAAATCAAAAATAGGAAAAAAATCTGAGTCTATAAATTCTAGGCTTTTCCCACCTACAGATATTTGGCTTGTCTCTTCAAAATCAACTTTTGTTGACATAGAAGGGTATAGATTCTAAGGTACCAAGAAATCAGGAACCTGGTAGCATTTTTTTTATTAATACACTTTATTTAAAATATATAAGCTTTCATGGTGTATCTTACTTCTCCTGATGCATGAAATGGCTTGATTGATATAGAATTTAAACTGGGATGAGGAAACAGAAGGAGAAAATGAAAGATAGGTAGATTATTCTGCAAATAAGAAAAATGTTATTTGATCCTTCAAGAAAAGAATATGCATCATATTCATAGAAACAAAATAGATGACCTTTAGAAGTAAGTTTACTGGTAAACGGAAGTATGAATGGATCTACTAATCTTCAACTCCAAGGAACCTTATTCAGCATAGCAAATATTGGACATACTAGAAGTTATATCTGAAGTTTTAAGTTTCCCACCTTCCGTTTAAATGTTGATTGGCAGTACATAGAGTAGGCAGCCAACTTTCTTCCAGCTTAACTAAGCCACTTCACAATCCCTGATCATGCTGACTGGAATGATGGAATGTGTAGATCAGTGCATCTGACAGAGCACCAAACTGCAGCAGGCAATTCTAGATTGTAGGATCTCGTTTATGCTAGTAGATTGGATTGGAGTCCCGACAAAGAGAAAAGAACCTTCTATGCATTCAAAACTAGAATATGGTGGCAATTTTTCTTCCTGTTCTAGAAATTCTATATTTATCATATAACCTTGCAAACATCTGTTTCCCAGGACCAATCCCCCTCTTCAAACAATTCAAACCATTCAACTTTTGATTAATTTGTAAAAACAAGTTTTTTTTATCCTTCCCCTTGCCAACAAATAAACACATCAGTAAGCATTTGTTTGCAGAGATTGTTTTCATAATTTTAGTCTTAGTCCACAAAGAAATGTTATTTGCCCATGAATAAGGTATAATTCATTCTAAGTGGTAACAAACTCTGTTTTGCTGCCTTAGAAAGTGTACTATTTCTTATTTTCAGGGAGGCAAATGAGTGTGGGCAGAAGAATTGATAATCCTGCCAAGACAAAGGGAAATTTCCTTTGATTCATGACACAGTGCCTTATTTGTGGACCAATATAAATCTAGTGATTTTTTGTTGTTGCTCTTTTGATTTTTTTAAGCAAAGGTGCAATCAAATATACTTCCAGCAATAATAACTTCCTATTTCCTAAATCTAAAACAGTATTGAAACTGTTACAAAAAGGACTTCTCTAAAATCCCACTGGGAGTTATGTAAGGTAAAACCATCTATTGACAAACAACCATGTGTCTGAATGCCATATAGAGAGAAATAATGCAGTATCTCAGAGATATGAATAGAAATTTGATCTGAGAAAAGGATTGGCCAAAATTAGAACAATCATTTAGCATCAATAATGTTGTTCCAAAGAACAGTCATAAAAAATACAGAATAAGTCTCAAACCATTTGGAAGAGAATATACTGTCTTACAGACAGAACAATATATGGATGATTTCCATCATTAAAAAAACTCCAAATAAAATGAAAAAAGGCAATTCAGAAATAAATTTCATCCTTAATGCTGTGAAATGAGCCCAGATATACGCCAAGCAATTGCTAAACTGATGCATTTACTACTTGATTCATGTACAGAGTTTTTTTGTATGAAATGCAGGACGACTATGACTTACCTTTTTTCTACAATAAATTCTATATATGCATGACAAATCCAAACATGCAAAATGTTTAATACCCTAGTTCAGAGATACTTCAGGGACAAATCCAATTATGAGTTATATACCACAATAAATAGGATTCAGCATTTCACAGAGCAATTTATAATTCATAAAAACAACAAAATGTACCTGTCAGATAGAACCCGGAGAGCAGATTGCTGTGCTGCCTGCTGGAAAGAAGGGCAGAGATGTTTATTTTATACAATAACTTTTAAAATATGAGCTCAATCAATACATAAAAAATGTGTCAGCCACATTCTTGCCACATATACAAATTTTATAGGATTTACAAGTAACACTATAGCCTTCTGGCTATTTTCCAGCTATTGTACACCATGTAAAAGCAGTTTGTTAGATTAACACCACTGAAATGTTAAAAAACTTACACAATCTGAAAAATCCTATTTGGAAGTTTTTTTTTTTAAAAATGAGAAAATATTTTCTTTCCTTTGCACCATTATTTTATCAATTGTTCACTTAGCAAACTGTTCAATGATGGCAACAAGTATCCTAAGGCACAGTTGTGATTCATTGCCAATTTTAACTTGGCAAATTTTAACAGGGCTGCAAATAAGTGAATGAACATTGATAAGTACCTTATGGCTATATGGTACCTTATTGGCTAATGTAGGAAATACGTTAGCATGGAAGTCTCTTGCAGGAGGTAAGAAACTTCTCAAAAAATAACAGAAGATTCAGGTTTAATCAGATGATAACTGACTTTCCATTTCATTGCTGATTTTTTGTGCACCTATTCTCTAGCTTCACTTGTATGATACGCCAGACAGGAAGCATGACCTGATGAGCTAATTCTATTTATTGTAAGCCTACATTAACAGAATCTTGCAAGTCTGAAAGTACAAATCTCCCACATCTCTTTTTACAGCCTGATCAATTAGGATGGGTCCTTCTTAAGTTGCTTTCTCTGTTAAGCAACTGCAGGCTCCTCCCTCTCTTGTCTGATAATTCCCTAGGCAATATCTCTTTACCTTGTCCCTCAATATTATTCCAACATACCATTATATCACTTTATTACTTGCAGATATCTATAAAGTAGGAGTTTTCAATCTATGGGTCAGGATCCCAGGAAGGAAAACAATCGGGTGTAAGGTGTCACAATTTCTTATTAAACTTAATCAGACATGTAAATGAAGTGGGACCAGTATCACAACTCACTGTAAGCTTTTCAGAATTCCAGATTATTCATGCAGATGAAAATGTAATTATGAATATAATAACTTTATTGTCACTTTGAATGTACACTAATCAGCATACATTAAAATGAAATTTCATTGCATACAGCTCTCAAAGGGTCACCACCTCTGATATACAGTACATAAATATGACAAAAATAAATAAATAAATGCAGAATTATGCATATACCTACATATATTATATGACACAGAGAAACAACAGTCTAGTTCGAGTTATGTATGTATGTGTATGGTGAGAAAAGTGAATCTTGCAAGTTTACCACAGGGAACAAAGCTATTACAGAATCGGGTAGTCCTGCTAGAAATACTTCAAAACCTCCTCCCATAAAGTGGGTGTGTGGGGTCTCTAACAATGCTTTGAGCTCTAAGCACATAGCACTTATAAGCTGCATCCTGAATACCAGGAAGTGAGCTTCCTATGATCTTCTTGGCTGTCCTTACCATTCTCTGTATGGACCTTCTATCTGAGGCACTACTGCCACCAAACCAGACAGTGATGCAGTTTGTTAAAATGCTCTCAATCGTGTCTCTATAAAAAGTGGCCAGGACAGAAGGAGAACACTAACTGCAATGAAATCATTAATGTTATTAAGTAGGTTTGGATGGGTCTTATGCAAACTTACCATTTTAGGTAGTGATGTTATATAACATTTGAAACTCCCTGCCCTAATGGCAATTTTATTGGCTATAATACTGAGTCTATTTTGGGCTTCATCCATTCTGGAATGTACCATTTCAGTTTATGATAAAGAGTTTTTATTAAAAAGTATACTTTCAAAAAGTCATTAATTATCAGGCTCCAAAAATCAAGTAAGACATGCTGAAGTTCTTCTAAGCAGTTTCCTTTATTGTTTCTCACCTATAGAGAGAAATCTTGCCAAACCAAAGCAGACCATTGCACCATTAAATATATATTCTGAGAATTCTTAGAAAGGAGCTGACTTAACTCTCTTCCTCTCCCACAAACTGTCTAAATTTTTCTGTCTTTTACTCTTTCCTTCATGGGAATCTGGACTACATTCTATCATATCATGTTACTGTACTTTGCCTTACTGTCAACACTTTGTAACATATTGGTGTAGTTGATCTTTGATATTTTTATTATATTTTATTGTATCCAAGGAACCTGGTATGGTACATAAAGATAAAGGTTACCTTGTCAGTCATGTCTGACTCTAGGGCATGGTCTCATTTCCATTTCTTGGCCAAGGAAGCCAGCATTGTCCGAAGATAATTTCCATGATCATGTGGCCAGCATAGCTATACGTCAAGGGTGCCTAGTCCCATCCTATTTTATGTGCATTCTGTGCAGTAGTGGCTTATAGTGTCTTTGAGAGTTTCAGGGATGAGCTTCTTCATATTCTTCATCTAACATTCATTATGTGTAACATAATTCATATACACAATGTATAGAGCTTGAGGATATAAAGTGCAACAGTTTCCTCACATTCAGGCTGGATAGCAGAAATTCAAATTCTATGATGGAAAAAATTCAAGAAAGTGATATATTTGAAAGGGAAGTATACTATAGAAGCATACCTCCTATCTCCACAGGCGGCACACAGACCCCTCTTTGTGGGCACGTGCGCCATCGTCCAAGTCTTAGGCCTTCAGTCCTGTCCATGAGCAACCTGCATCAATACCCGTGGAGGGTAAGGTTACCGTGCCCGTCCCCACGTCCCCAAGTGTTTTTTACTAACCTGCCTTTCAGCTGCATTCTGTTTCTCGGTTCACTTCTCAGCCTTCGCCACATATTTGTGGGGCTATCGGTAAAAAAAAAAAAGTTCCATCAGACTTTCTAACTACTCACGAGATCTCAAGAAGTTAGAAAGCCTGATGGAACTTTTTTTTTTACAGATAGTCCCACAAACACACAGTGAAGGCCGAGAAGCGAAATGCAGCTGAAGGGCAGGTTAGTAAAATCACGCTTGGGGGAGGTGAGGGCATCTGGGCGGGGTGGATGTGGCAACCTTACCCTGCATGGTGGCGGGAGGGGGTGGCATGTGCCCTTCCCATGCCAGGCCAGCCCCTGCAACTCCGGGGTGGCCATGCTGGGCAGCGGTGGGCAGGGTGTTGAGGTAGGGGCCAGCAGGCCGACCAAAGCAGCAGGTGGAGTACCGGAGGCTCAGGGAGGGAGGGCACTGAAGTGGCGATCAGGACATTGGCAAGAGCAACGCGTCGGAACAAGTGGGGCAGGTAAGGAAATAAATTCTCGCTTCCCCCAGAAATTGCTATTCTTTCCTTACCTGACTTCCAGCCCCATGCTGTTTCTCCTTCACAATCCGCCACTGCTGCGTGCAAGGAAACAAAGGAAGGGGTTTTTTTGGGAAAAAAAGTCAATCAATCAATTCCAACTTCTCGTGAAAGACTGTGAAGTTGGAATTGATTGATTGACTTTTTCCCCAAAAAAACCTTGTTTCCTTGCAGGCGGCAGCGGCGGATTGCAAAGAGAAACAGCACGGGGCTGGAAATCAGGTAAGGAAAGAAAGGCAATTTCTGGGGGGGGGGGAAATGAGGATTTCTTTTCTTACCTGCCCCACTTGTTCCGAGGCTGCCTTCCACTCGGATGTGTTGCTCTTGCCAATGGCCCAACCGCCCACTTCAGCACCCTCTCTCTCTGAGCCTCTGGTGTTCCACCTGCTGCTTTGGTGGCTCTGTAGGCAGAGCTGCAAAGTTCTCTTCTCTATCAGAGAAGAGAACTTCGCAGCTCTGCCTATAGAGCCACCAAAGCTGTAGCTGAATGGGCAGGTGAGGGGGAAACCTACCCCACTTGTTCCACGGCCACTTTCAACCAAGCCACATTGGGCGCAATATGCAAGGCAGCAAACAGCTGCGTCACGGCCATTTGCCGCCTCCTGCCCAATGCCACTGCCATGAGGCCACGGAACAAGCCAGGCGGTGGTAAGAAACCGGTATACCGGGGTTCCAGTTTGTGCTCACAGCACTGGCAGACATGTGCTCTCTCCACCATCTGGTTTTCTCCCACCAGGGGACCCTGAAAAGGGTCAGAAGTTGCCCTGGAGGGACTTCCGGTGGTTCCAGCGGATGACGAATGGCGGCGTTTTACAAAGCCGCCCGTTCCTGGTGCGTGTAAAAGCCACGGGACTTTGACAATCAGCTGTCCCGCGGCTTGAATCTCCTCCCTGGGAAAAAGGGAGGAGGAGAGCTCTCAGGTAGAGGTAAGAGCTCCCCTGGATTCCTGTTATTTTGGGGATCGGAGGGTAGAGCTCCCTCGGAGCCTGAGCAACTCCGCGTTCCAGGGAGACTTCATTCCGAAGTTTTTGGGATGAAGCAAGTTGCCGCTTCCATATCTGCTTTTTTTTTCCAGCTGCTTGTGAGTATTTGAAAGCAGACGGAGCAGACCAGGAGAGACTGTGCTTAAGTTTGATGGTGCCTTTAACTTTAGCAAGTTTCCTCTTCCTTTTCTTTTGTTCACTTTCCCTTTAGAAGAAAGGGAAAGTGAAAACTAAAATGGCGATCGTCTTTCTTGCCTGATTTGCATTACAGAGTAAAACCTGGATACAGATTAACTCTTTAAATACAGAAGTAAGAATTTGGCTTTTATTCTTTCCTCTTTTTTTCTCTATTTTTTTTTCTCTTTTTTTTAAGAACACTTAAAAGAACTGTGCCCTTTTTTTTTTCAATAAGAATCTTTCTTCTTGGAACTTAAGAAAATGGCTTCAAAACGTCTGCCTCCCGCCCCTAAGGTTCCTATTTCTTCTCCAATGCCTCAGCCTGCATCTCAGAAACCAAAATCACCTCCACCTTCTCCTCCTCCTCCTGCAATTTCTCTTAATGATTTACAAGATGCTTTAAAACAGCATGCCTTGGATATTAAGGAGGAGGTAAAAGATCTTATAATTGCAGAGAGGGCTAATACAGAAGAATTATTGGAGAAAAAGAATAAACAAGTAAGAGACCATATCCTTCTGGCCTTTCAGGGCCTAGCCCTGCAC